TAAAATTTTTATAATATATTAAAAATTTAAAAATTTTTTTATTTTATTAAGAAACTAAAATATTTTTATACTAATTAAAAATAAATGACTATATCTTGTGTGAAGAATTTTATTTTTATAAAAAATAAATGTGCAATAACAAAAAAAGCACAAACAACACAAAAACTTACTAACAAAATCAAATATATAAAAGTTAATTGATATTAAACATAAATTATTTTCTACCATTTCACTAATTTTTATATTATTCACTAACACAATAAATTTTATGAAGCAAAAGATAGCAAGTCAGCAAACAATGTTAATGCAGCAACAATAACATGCAGAGGTTATAATATATTATATATTATAGAGTCATATAGTCATAGCTATCTGTTTCGCTAGTTGGTATAGAAGCCTCAGTTTGTTCTTCAGGAATTTCAATATCTACATACACAATACGAAGTGAGTTCGTAAATCCAGCGCCTTTTCTCCATCCAGTAACTACTATAACTGCATCTCCAGGTTTAATGAAACCTTGATTTTTGCCAAATTTCATACCAAATTGAACACGTACATCAACATCTTTTACCCAATCAGCTAATCGTGGTTCTATATAAAAAACAAGTAAATTATAATTTCTTTATATATTAAATTATTATGCATTATTATTATATGCATAATAATATATATATACTATTTATTAAACATCATTTATTTGAAATGAAAAATATAACTATATCTATTTAATTAAAATATCTAAATATTTAAATTTTAATTTTTTTAAATCTATATTTTTTTATATATAATGTAATTTTAATATAATTTTAATAATTATATTACCTTGAAAATGAAGTGGCAAAATCCCACGATAAAGATGTGACTGTCGTGCAGTTTGTGGGTGTCTAGTAACTGTAATAATTGGACAACGTGGTCTGTATTTAGAAATTAAATATGCGGAATGACCGGTAGTTGTAATTACTATAATAGCACTAGCTAAACATTTCACAGATGCTTCTACAACAGCGATTGCAACAGCATGTGTAGCATCAATTGGAGGTATTGCTTTCATTGAAAGCTCATGAAATAATTGTGTTTGCCAGATTGCAGACTCTGCTTCTTTACAAATATTAGCCATTGTGAGTACACATTCCAATGGATAATCTCCTTTGGCAGTTTCTCCTTAATACGTTAAAGTAAATAATAATTATTATATTCTTATATAAACATTAATATATAAAAAAATTCATATTTTTCATTTACATAATTGTTTATATATTTTTTATTATTAATTAATAATATAATAATTAATTAATTTATATACCTGATAACATAACACAATCTGCACCATCAAGAATAGCATTAGCTACATCCGATGATTCAGCTCTGGTTGCACGTGGTTTTTTCACCATAGATTCAAGCATTTGCGTAGCACAAATTATTGGTTTTCCAACTTTATTACATTTGCTAATAGCAGATTTTTGAGCTAAGAATACTTTCTCTGGTGGTATTTCAATACCAAGATCACCACGTGCTACCATAATACCATCAGAAGCATCGATAATTTCATCAATATTTACCACTCCCTGATGATTTTCAATTTTAGATATTATTTTAATATTTTTTCCTTTTTCACCAAGAATTGTTCGAATTTCTGTCAAAGCATGAGCATCTCGTATAAACGAGGCAAAAATCATATCAACTTCATGTTCAACACCGAATATTAAATCAGATTTATCTTTTTCAGAAACAGCAGGTAAATCTACAGGAGTACCTGGTAGATTGACACCTTTACGAGAACCCAACATTCCACCATTTTCAACAACAGTTACAACTAATTCAGGATCTGAAACACATAAAACATAGAAAAGATTAATTGTTAAGTAAAATTTTTTATAAATAATATTTAATTAATATTTAATCAATTAAAACTTTAATAATATAATAAAATTTAATAAATATATTTTTTTATTTTTAAATGAGAAGAATCTAAAGGCCATACATACGGATCGCAGTAACTTTAAGGGAAATTAAACCATCATCGACAAAAACGCGACTATTAGGCTTCAACACTTTAGTAATGTTCTCATAATCTACATAAACAATACTTGAAGTGCCTTTTTCTGCATATGCTTTATCAGTAGACAATTTAAAAAGTTGATCTTTTTTTAATTC